GGGGCCTTCCATTCGGCAGCGGCCCAACTTTTGCCGGCTTGAGAAAGTCCTGAAAAATTGGGTTACATGGTGCTGGAGATCGCTGGTTCGGAAGCCAGTTGCCTAATAGCATGGAAGGCTAGGGTCTGGGGTGTAAACTCAATGGCAGTGTGGTGTAGATCTGGATGTCCTACGGTGTAAGAAATCTGGAACATAGTCAGTTAGTTAATAGATGTTGTTGGTTCATCTTCATCTTTCGTTCATCGTGCTGCTCTCAGACTAGGTATCGGCTTCTAACAGGACCTCGTTGCTATGAACATGTACCCCGTACTCTCCATTAATACCCCGGCTCCTATCTGCTCCCCCCTAGTTCTGACTATGTTACCACCGCACCGGATCAGCGACTCGAGCAAACGCCATGTCTCAGGCCGAGACCGTCAAGAAAGTATTGGAAACTGTGATCGCCCCTCTGAGAGCGATAAGCCCCCACGAGACTCACGAGTGCGATGACCCGGTACATGAAAAATCGAAAGTTTATGCCCACACATGGTCGTTGGAGGGTTTTGCTTTGGTAGATACCGCAAAGACCGCTTTGGACGCTTTTGGCGGGTCGCCCGAGGATGTGGAGGAAGCGTCGGGTAAACCATGGAACGTAGGCTGGAGTTGCTCTCCGTTGGACGATAGGGTTGATTAAAATGGTTGGATGGATTCAATTCAAAAGGTGGTTTGCTAGCCAAGCAGGGATGTGCGATTGCGCTCCACCCAGCCGATCATCGAGCAGTTCGAATCGTTGGCTGTTTTATGGTGCGTGGTGGAGAACGATCGGAGGATTCCCTAAGGATGGTTCGTACTGGAGGAAACCTCTTGGATATAAAAGTTATCAGTAGGTAGAGTTCTACATTTCAAAAGCCGGAAAAGACAACTATAAGAAATTAGTGTATGGCTCTAGGACTTGCCTTGCAGTCTTTAGAACGACGGTTATGTCTCACAGGGCCTGGATCTCCTGGATCTCCTGGATCGTCTGAAAGGCCTTGAAACGGGCCGGGCCAGCGAGGGTGCATTTTTGGCTGCAGGTCGGGCCCGTGTCGGACTCTTGAGCATCAATGGGGCTTTTGGGTGCGCGGAGTGGCGGGCTGGCTGCTTTGCTGGTCAGTGCACCAAGGGGTCCGAGAGATTGTTCCTGAGTCTGTCACTTGACGGGGATTGGGGATTGGGGCTGGCCGTAGGTTGTTCGAACGCCACCGGGGAGAGGGTGAATAGGAGTGGATTGTCCGTAGGGTTTTCTTACGGAGTCCGTGGTTATAGTGGTTATAGTAGTTATAGGCTATATTAGGCAGAAGAGATAACGGGCATGGTTGCAAGACATTGCCAGAGTGTTCTATGAATTATGTGAAGTATTTTGTATTTTGTAGGGAGCTATTCGGGTCGAATAAAGAACAGAATCCATCCTGCGGGACGTCCTAGTATTCGCATTACGAGGGGCCTACGCAACCATCCGCTCCTCTTGTCCAACGCAACGGGACAAAAAAAGCACTTCAATCTGAACCAAACTGCGCACGACTCAAAAAGAAAAAAATTCCCTTCCAGAGTCCCACAAATCAAAATTCTTTGATCATCTAATCTCTTCTGTCTTTGTTAGGCATAAAATTAAAAATCATTATAGCAATTGAAAAGCAAATGATCAAACCAGATGGACTAAAGCCTCCCCTATTTTTTTTTCCTTCATTACTACGCAGTAATACTTATACCAAAATACCACTAAAACCCCTCGAAATCCCGTCCCAAGACGGCATCAAAAACCCAACCCCCAAAATTGATCTTCACTCACCCCTCGCCCCTCCCGAATTTCTCCTACCTCTTCTCTTCTCTGCTTGCTTTTTTCTCAATAGAATTTCCTCCCTCATCTTCCTACTTTTATTCTCTATTCACTATTCACGACTCTCTTCCTGCCAACCAGCCAGTCCCCACTCACATCTGGGTCTTCCCCCCGTGCCTCGCCAATTTCGCATGCTCCCGCGGTCCCGTCGTTCTTTTCCCCGCCTCTGCTCCCGACATCGCCCACATTACCCCCTGATCAAAGTGTGAATGCGGTTGGAGATCCTGCAATCCATGCGGTGACGACGGAAAACCAGGGTGGACAAAAGTTGACCAACACAGACTGTGAATTGGTTCTATGCGACGGTCGATACACAAAGTACAATGCCTTCAACCAGCTCCGTGGAGAGCGCTCCTCTGGCCGATTACTTTTGGATTGCGGGTGTGGATGGCACGGAGATTCTGGATACCTTTAAGCGACTCGGGGAAGACTATCGCATCAATGGCGCTGCCTCACCGGGCCCGGCGCTCTCCGATGCTATTCAGGAGGACGCGGACGCCGAGGATGAACACCTGCCGGATGCTATCTCCCGCCCCAACTCGACTCTCTACGCGGGGAATAGTACCCGCCGGAGCTCCAACCAGCGCCTGTCGACCCTTTCGCGCACCGATTCCGACCAGCCCAATGGTGCCGGTAGCAACCGTAGCAGTGTCACGGTCAAGGGCGCCTCTTCCCCGCTACGGGCTTCGGCCATGTTCTCCGAGGACTTTGATTTTGACCAGGCTTTGTTGAAGTTTACATCGGAGAGGGATACCTTCTTGACGGATCTGAGCTTGAGTGCGGGTGCAATCACCCCGAACACGCGTCCGCGATCTCGCGTTCGGACGCAAAAGATCGTCGCGGAGGATTCTCCCTCTCAGGGTGGTAATCTACTACGGTCGAGCATCGGAAGTGTGCGCCGGCATATGTCGTTTCGAGATATGAATAGTATGAAGAGGCAGCCGTCGACAATTGCGCGACAAGGTGAGTTTTCTAGTTTGGAATACGATTGTGGGTTTTTGGTGAGAGGGAAAGACATGCTCTGAGAATTTATTACTGACGAAGGGCATTGCTTGCTACAGCTTCCGTACGTACGTCTCGACGACTGAGCAACTACAATTCGGTGATCCCCGTGCCGCAGCCCCTCGAAATCTCCCCGACGATGCACCCATTGAAGCGCCGCTTCGAGCCCGTCTTGCTCGATCGATACCCCACGCGAGGCATGGCCGACGAGTTGAAGCTGCGAGGTAACTTTCCGGACTACGTACCGATGTTCGCCTTTCCCAATGATGTCAACATCGTTGCCTCGGATCAACGGCCGCGGTCGACGTGGCACGGGTTCGCCATGACAACCGACAATGGCTCGAAATTGCATGCAATCTGCGTGATCATCTGGATTCCGTTGAATGCCAAGGCCGCGGACGAGCTGGAGAAGCGCTGTGAGGAATGGCGAAAGGATAACATGACGGACGAGGAGCGTGAGCTGGCGGCGAGTCTGGGCGAGCGGCTTGCATCGGAGCGGGCCAAGCTATCCAGGCTGCTGGCACAGCTGCCGAATGTGCCATCCGGATCGGACTCCCGTGAACAGCTAGAGGATGAGATCAGTGCGGTCGAGGAGAAGATTGGGCTCATGACGGATTTGCTGCGCCCGGTGCGACATGCTGCGTCTTCCAAGATTGAGGGTTTGACCGATGGTGATACGGGCTTTTGGATCCCCCGCGCATACGGTATCCTCGGTCGTGAGGCGAATATGACCACCTTCTGGAAGGAGTGGCTGAAAGCGATCGTTGTACCGATGACGGAGGGTAGTGTGCAGCGTGTGCCATCCAGTTCGCAAAGAATGGGGGTATGGCAGCCGCTGGAGCGATATGTCATGAATCTCTGTACGGAAGCATTCTGTCCAGTCTCGTCTAAGACGCAAGTCGAGCTTGCAATCCGTGAACTGCGGCTATTTGCTCGCCAGGAAGCTTCCAACGAGCTTCCGGGTTCTCGGAATACCGACCTCTATGCCTTGTTCCGAACATTGTCCGTCCCGAACATTATTATTCTCTTCGAGTACGCTTTGACAGAGTCTCGAATCATCTTCTTGTCCTCCCACACCTCTATGCTCTATCTTGCCACCAGGGCCCTGGTTGACCTACTCTTCCCGATCCAGTGGACTGGTGTTTTGATCCCCGTTCTCCCCGCTCGCTTGGTCCAGGCGATCGAAGCTCCTTGCCCGTACATCGTGGGTATCGAACGCCGATATGAAAAGGTGGAATTGCCCACCGATGACTTCGTTTTGGTCGATCTGGATAACGACATGATCGAGAGTACCCTGCCCCCAACTGCTCTCCCTCGTCATCAACGTAGGAAGCTCCTTTCGCTCTTGCAGATGGCTGCGCCTCACCATAGCCGGTGCGGGGTGCCCACCGGTCCTCCAGCATATGCGGTCGAGACCTACCCATGGGACACATTCTTGTCAGAAAGCGCAGCCACGTACATGGCGAAGGCTCCACCAACCAACCTTGCCAAGTACGTGGGCCTGAATTCCAGCGCCTTCGGTTCGACTGCCGTGGCTCCTGGGACGTACCAGCCCCCGATCTTCAATGCATTCCTCCATGCCCGTAACGAGCAGGCCTCCTCACGCGGGTATTCCTCCAAGAGCTACGACCGGCCAGGAACTAGCTCCACGGCCAGGGCCAGTGCGTCTCCCCCATCACCGAGAGAAAGCTCCCCAACCTCGGGTCATTTCCCTCCACCTCCACCGACTCCCTCCTCTCGGAACGATTCTGGAATGGCGTTGCAAGCGTCGCTGCGTGAAAAACGATCTGGCCATTTCGACGCAGCGTCTCGGAGGAGCTCGTCCTTTGGAATGGCGCGACGTCCGAGTGCGCCTTTCCTCGGGCATACCTCCAATCTGTCCGTCACCACGCTCAACACGGAATACGGGCCAGGCTCGACCTATGCTCCGTCGGTGTACGCTCAATCCACGATTGCCGCATCGACGATTGTCCCACACGCTGCTGTGCAGCCCATTGACAATGCCGCGGGAACTGCCTGGGTCGAGGGCCACTTTTTCCAGACCCAACCGTGGGACGAGAAACTAGTCTGTGCCATCTGTGATGACCGCGCCGAAGAAGGCATGTACAAGTGCTCGCAGTGCAAGTTGACTGTCCACAACCGCTGTGCTTCCCAGGTCTGCCTGGTCTGTGAGGCTGCCTTTCACCCCGATCAAGTCCGCGCGGCCTTTGTCAGGTGCTTCGCCAGCTTATTCTATACGTATAAGAAGTTCCTTGTACCGGCTAGCGGGGAAAAAAAGAAATCTGGCATGTACTACACGTTCAATATGGATGCCTTTATGAAGAGCCTTCCACATGAGCATGCCGAGTACATAGCTGTCCTGCAGCAAACGCAAGGTAAGAATCTCGGTGATGACTTGACAGGATGATGAGATCTAACGCTCCCAAATTATAGGATTCAACGAGTTCATCAGTGAACGCGAAAGAACCAGCCCCAAGTCCAAGGACTCCAAGATGGCCCTCTTCGATGAGATTGTTCTCTCAAAACGCAACCGAGGCCGCAGCTCCATCTTCTCCGGTCGATCCACTACCGACTTCCTCTCTGACACCTCCAACCACTTGTGGCGGACAGCCAGTGCCACTTTCTTCGCGCCAAGCAGCCGCAGCCAACCAAATCTCTCCGGTGATTACAGCAGAGTTGTCCAAAAAGGTGAGTCTTATTCTGCCCATCCAACGACCGTCCCCGTCTAACCCCGTCACAGCCCCGGCCAAGCTTGACACGAGTCTCATGAAAGAACCCCGCATGATCCATGGAGCTCCACGGGTCTCCAAGACGGCAAATACTGCCCGTCGAAAGCCTTTGCCTAAACTGATGAATGGTTTGGCCATATCTCCTCCGAGTTGATTGGTGTGATTTCTTTTGAGAAGCGTCCGATTATCATTTCCGTCTGTATTTGGTGCGTCGAGGTGGGCCTTTGCTTGCCCGTGTGTGCGTCTGCAGCTGCATCCTTGTCCAACTTTTGACATGACCCGAGCCCGCTTTTGAAACATTGGGTCTAGATTCAAGCTAGATTCTGCCTGTGATCATTCTGGGCTGGTGGTCCTCGTCCGTGTCTGTCGTGATCGATTGGCAACACATGATGCATGCTGGTTGTCATCACTTTGAAACGGACGGTTGTGGGCCACCACACAGCTAGATCGCCGGCCAGGTTAGACGGTGTTCTGTCTCTACGCGTCTCATTGTCCTAGACTAACTGCCTCTTATCCGCCTCCTATCTCCTTCTTTTCCTCGCTGCCGCCTCATGGCTCGCCTCTCGCCTGTCGATCTGCAGGAAGCGGGTCTACTGCAAGGATGTCATCTCCGGCGGCGTGCCATGACTTTGTCCAATGGCGAGCATACTCGCTATGATACCTAGTGTCACAAATCTCCACCATTGACTGAGGAGCCGATTCCTTCCTCCAAGCGTCTCCAGTCTCGTGTCTCGTCTCTCTCCCTCTCCGCTAACCAAGCTTCTGCTGCGGCGCGGGAAACTCGCAAGATCAAGCTGGCGATCCTTGGGATGGACTCCCTCGTGACGATACGTGGACCTACCGACGAAGGCCCCTCTTTCTTCCCTATCTTTTTTCGCGTACATAGTAATTCCTCCGGCTTGATGTCGGGCGGAGTGAACAAAGTAATCTAAAAGCGCAAAAGCGCACAGACTAGCCCGATCTGTCGAACATCTACTTCTGATACACCGTTTGATTTATTTTGAAAGACATCAGCTGTTTGTTGGCGGTTCGTTCCAGTTATTCCCCTTTCACCTTGTGCCTGCCTTGTCGTTTCTTGTTTTCCTATCAATACCCCCTTGACTTGGTTGGTATGTTTCTCTCGTTTTTGTGGGCCTCTTGATGGGCATTGGAGGGATATCTCCCCTCCTCGATGATTTGATCACTCTTCTGACCATGCTTTTATGGCTGCCATGTAAAACCCATCTTCAGATATAATATCATGTCAATCTGCCAACGTGGGTTGGAGATAAGAATCATTATTTTTTTTTTCTATTTATTTTGTGATCGGTGATTGTATGAAAGAACGAACAGAAATGGTGGGTGGAATATCCCAGTTTGATGTACGACTTGGGATCTTGTAACCCTTTTACGTTTACCTAGTTTTCAAAATCAAGGACCAGGAACTATATTATGACCCGCGCTAGGTTTAACGGTGACAATTAACCATCGAAGGATCTCCGTTTAACCCAGTGGCTATGGCTACTACATGCGCGGCAGGTACACAAGGCAGTCATTGGCCACACTTGCTTTTCCCTCTTTTTTGTGCTTGTCCCAGGCGAATCAATTCTTCCATACACTCCCTTCTTTCAGCTTCTAAGCCAAGCCTTGTTTTCGATGGACGACGGTCATAGACGGCATAACTTATTTGCGTTCTGGTCCAGGACGCCCGAGTTGATGGACAGGGTGGATTCCTCGGGCCGATTGGTTATTGGTTTTTGACTAGCCGTGTCTCTTTGGTTAGCCGGAGATTTTCCCCGTATCAAAGCGTGGGAATTGTCGGTTGTCTGAGAGTGGATTGAGGAAGTGCGACCCTGTGGATGCGGTGACATTTGGATGGCACGGTGGTCGTTCATACTCATAGGCATTGGATTGACGGGCTTGCCAAGTGGTCATCTATACGAAGTTTTAGGAGTCTTGATAGGCTGAAGAGTATGTAGGATTATAGATGTCGAGAAACGTATACCACTAGATATCGCGTACTCTTATACAAGTGATCATTTGTATACTTTTTTTCACTATTCCTGGTTATCCGGATAAAAATCCTGAACCAAGCACCTATAATACATGTTATAAGATAGCACTACGGAGTAGCACCTATACCAAATTACTAAATTACTAGAATTACTAGTATGGAAGGATACTTTATCACCCCCAGAATTCCCCCCTCGGATCCGCAGTTTCCATGGCCCACGCGTCCCTCTGATTGGCGGAGAATTCCAACCCCGTCTCTCCTCCCCCGCGCCCCCTCCCCGGAATGGATTTTCTCATTTTTGGTTTTTTTGGGGATTTCCGAATGGACCGTCTCGTCCTGACCTTCCTGACCTTACCACTCGCTGGTCATTTCTCACCTCCAATTGTTGCCTCTTATCCCACCACCCCCCAAAAGTCTCGATCAGAGAAAAGGCCGTCAACCTGCAACCCTGCGCTATAGCCGCTCGCCGCCTGGCCAACCCCCGTATTAAACTCTATCTGGCCTGCTACATTTCCTCCAACCCCCATTTCGTTCCTTTCTTCCTCCACCACTTGCACTTTATCCGGCTAAACCCGTCTCTGGAAAAACACCAAATACACTACTTGGCCTTGCTCTCGCCTCTCTCTCCCGTTCTCGCCTTTCTCGCCTCCTCGGTCAATCCCCGGCCCATGCCGTTGCGGATACTACTTAGCAATTGCCGTTGACGAGCCGGACGGTGATAGTACAATTTTTCCATCACACACGCTCTTTCTTTCCTTATCTTCTCTTTGCTCTCTCCCTCCCTCTCTCCTGTCTCTCTTCTCAATTTCGTTTTTCTTTTTGGACCTTGCGTTTCACAAGGGAAAGTTGGCGATATCCCGACTTGACTTGAGATTCCGTTGCCTTCTTTGCGTGGCCGGGGCGTACTCGCGTGACGTTTGACGGTGACGGTGGTCCCCGCAACCTGAGATTAAGAGAGTCGTGGACAGGCCTGATTGGGTCCGAATTCGAGCGCGTTCATCCTACACCCAAGTATGAAAACGTCTAGATCTGCTATGCGACGATGATGCCAACTGCCCTCCCGCCCATGGCAACGCCGCTCCGAGACGAGACGGCCGCCGTCTCGACCCTAAAGGACCCCGGTCCTCATACGGCTTCACCCAACCACACCTCCTCTGATCTGTCGACCTCTGCCTCTTCAACCTCTTCGGCTGGCTCGGTCTTGAACATTGCCGCAATTGTCTCGAGTAATGCGCCCACCGCTTCCTCCCCGCAGAACCATGTCGCTCCCTCCGTCATACCCCCACCAGAAACCCCGTCCGGGACGATAGTCATTGTGTTTGGCGCGGGAATGGAAAGCGTCGTCCACATGGTCGCGGAGGTGCTCGGGAAGCCCTGGACAACGGAAACCTCGCTCGCGACGCTGGCGAGAGCCACGGACGTGGTTGTTGCCGGTGTGCTGGCGCATGATCTCGACCGCAGTCTGGAGGGATGCGACAGGTCCTCGTTCATTCTGATCAATACTCATTGCGTGGAGGATGGGTCCGCACCCGAAGATGCGCTGACCGAATTCTGCGACTACGAGTTCTTGTACTCGCGAACCCCCTTTTTGCGCCGCGATCTGACGCGCTTTCTTTCTTTGATCCTGGGTCAGACGAGGCCGCATGAGGACTTGCGCACCAAGACGCGGACAAATTTTATCTCGACGACCTTCCCGGATGTGCATGCCGCGTTGCCGAATTTGGATATCTTGTCGGTGGGATCGGATGCGGTTGAGATTCGCGTGGACTTGCTGGTCGAGCCTACGGCGGATGGCACTGCGGCGGGCTCGGTGCCCAGTCTGAAATATGTGGGTCAGCAATTGATGCTGCTGCGGCAACATACCGAATTGCCGATTATTTTCACAGCGAGATGTACCAAGGAGAATGGAAAATTCCCCATGGACGATCCCGTATTGTTCTACAAGTACTTGCGGCGCGCGATTCAGTGGGGTGTTGAATATGTCGACGTGGAGCTGTGGTTGCCCGAAGAGATTCGCCGGCGGTTATCAGAAGTCAAGGGTCACAGCATTATCATGTCTGCGTTCCACGATTTCTCCGGGACGTGGAAGTGGACGGCCCCCGAGGCCCAGCGGGTTTTCGAGGAGAGTGCCAAGTACGGTGATATCGTCAAGATGATCGCCATGGTCTCGACTATCGAGGAAAATTATGAACTGGAATACTTCCGTTCGACTATCAAAAGTCGTGGACCGGGTCCGCTTCTCTCCGCCGTCAACATGGGTCAAATGGGTCAACTCTCGCGTGCCTTGAACACCGTCTTCTCCCCTATCACCCACCCCTTGCTCCCCATGATCGCAGCTCCGGGCCAGTTGACCGCAGCCGAGATCAACGAAGCCCTGCATATCATGGGCCAGCTACCAAAGCGCGATCTATACTTCATCGGCTCGTTCCGCGCCACTCCGCACTCCATGTTCATGGAGAAATGTCTGAACGAGCTCGGCCTCCCGCATACATTTACTTCGATCGACCGCGGGCCCAAGGGCTCCATGGAGTCCATCCTCACCCAGCCGCAATTCGGCGGTGCCTGTCTAAATCCACCCATCTCCAGCTCAACCACGTACATGCCCTCCATCAGTGATGCGGCCCGAGCCATCGGCCTCGTCGATACCATTGCCCTGTCCGCGCCGGCCGAGACCGGCAGCGCGCGATTCGTCGGCGAAAATGCCGCCTGGAAGGGCATCCGTGCCACGCTGACGCGCGAGTACGTACCCTCCGCGTACCGCGGCCGTGCGGCCATCATCCTTGCCGGCTCCGAGACCGACGCCTCGGCTGCGATCTTTGCCCTGCGCAGTCTGGGCGTGGGATCGATTTATACGGTCGGGTTTAAGGCGAGCGGACCGCTTGCGGCTGGATTGGAACCGTTTACCTCGATTCAGTCGGTTAAATTGGTTGAGCAGCCGTTCGTGATCGTTTCCGCGTTGCCGCCGGAAAAGTCGTTGTTGGTGCAGCCGTTGTTAAGGCATTATCGGACGAATGGCCGGTCGTCGCCGCCGTCGACTCGGGGTAAGGTTTATCTTGATTTAACCACTGGGCCGAGGAAAGGGGATCCCTTGGGCGTCGCGAGTAGTGCCGGGTGGACGGCGTATGGGAGCGAGGATGTTAGTGCTTGGACGACGGTGGAGACCTTGCGGTTGCTGGTGGGTCAGAATGTGCCATTTGACTTTGTGAGGATGGCGTCTGGACGACCATTATTCTGAGTAGAGAGTGTAGTCTGTCTGTCTGTCATAGCTTGGAGTGGGCTTGGTGAATCCCGGCGAATTGTATGTCTGTATGTGCTTGTTCGCGTGCTTGGCCCGGACGATGCAATAGATCTGAAGATGTCGTCGAAGGTCTAGGGATTGGAGTTTGTTGGAGCTAGGCTTGGATATTGGGTTACCATTTCCTTTTCCTCTTTTTACCTTTTGACGGCGATCGGCCTGGGTTGTTTCGAGTCTGTCCCAGTCCATTTAGATATGCATACGATGGGAATAGGTATACCACTATTCCTTATATATCTACTATGATTCATTTCGCCCCAACAGTACCTGTTATCTCCCCTTTCCCTTGCCCTGCTGATACGTTGTATTATGCTTTTGTAGGAGAAGTCGTAACCCACCGCGTATAGAAGAGTACCTCTAACGGGCCCGGTTATCTGATCATATCAATCTTATCGGCAAATCCGGGGTCAACCCCTTCTTTTTCACTTTGGTACCTTGCCCCTCATTACAGAACTACAACACCATCTTCCGTCCATCGACTAGTCTTTCCGAACTATACATCAAGTCTACCAGATCAATTCACCCTCAATAGTTATTCTCTGCCTTGACACGATGCATCTACGCCCCGAACACGCAGTCACCGATCTCCCCACGTTACAGGCCTTTATCCGCGCCCACCCCCTCGGCCTCCTCACAACTTCATTACCCTCGGAGAATTATCCTACACTACAATCTAGCCATATCCCCTGGGTTCTGGGCGTAGATACCTCCATCCAGACTGCCTCGGAAAGCAACGAATCCTCCGAATCACTTAATGGCAGTCCCACGCACACACCTGCCCCCCGGGCCGTCCTGCGCGGCCACATCGCCCGCGCAAATCCACAAACGGCAGCCATGCTCGAAGCCGTCACGGATACCAGTCCCGCTAGCTTGAACCACCAATCCCTGTCCCAGTCACAGTCCCAGCCCCAGCCCGCTGCTCTGCCAGATCAAGGCCAGGGGGCCGCGGGCTCGTACCTCCCGGGCGAAGTCCTTGTCGTCTTCACCAGCCCTGTCGATCACTACATCACGCCGCATTTTTACACGGCGGCCAAAGCGGCCGCTTCCGCTGGTGCTGGTGCTGGTGCTGGTGCTGGTGCTGGTGCTGGTGCTGGTGCTGGTGCTGGTGCTGGTGTTACTACTGCTGACGGGTTCGGGACGGGTAAGGCTAGGATTGCGCCGACGTGGAATTACGCTGCTGTCCAGGTCTACGGGCGGATGCGCGTGTTTCACGAGTCCGGGGTTGAAGACACGGGATCGTTTCTGCATAGACAGTTGAGTGATTTGGCACGGTTGGGGGAGGAGGGTGTTGTGGGGTTTAGTGGTGCTGGGGGCAATAGTGGTGCTGGCGGTACCGGGACTAGTCCGTGGACAATCGAGGACGCGCCTGAAAAGTATATCGCTGGGCTGAAGAAAGGTATCGTTGGGATGGAGGTGGAGATTACCCGTGTGGAGGGTCGATTCAAGGTTAGTCAGGAGAGACCGGTGGGGGATCGGGCGGGGGTGGTGGATGGGCTGGAGGGGAGAGGGGAGGGTGTGGCGAGGAGGATGGCGGAGTTTGTGAGGGATGGGCGGGTTGTATAGTTGTTGAGTTTGTTGATCGTGGTTGAGGCGATTAGATTCCATGTTCTATTTGTGTTTGTTTACGGAGAGTACTGCTAGACGGTTAGTCCCGGATACTCCGGGGATTACCCTTGTCCTGTACATATTCTTGGAAGCGTGCATTCTGTTCTGCAGATGCTGGTTATGCAGGGAGACCCCTCGGTTGGATAAATGCGTGGATCGCGGAGTAAACCCCTGTTCAGGTCCCATGTGTCCTGCAGACTCTCTACCCCTTTGGATTCTGCATTCTGCAGGACAAAGAGCCGAGAATTTGCGGGGGTAAGTCTGGCGGGGTTTCGCAAATAGCCGACATGGGGAAGGTAAGTGGTAGTCTTCAAGGGTGCTCTCGGCTGGTTTACCGTATCCTATACTCTGTAGTATACCTACAGCACCGTGTACGAACGAATTCCTAGTGTTTAGGTATGTGCTTGCAGTTCTGATCCTGTACATATTCGTATATTCGTAATACTTTTGCAACGATGGTAATATCAACCAGATCCCCTCTCGTGTCCCTCTTTTCCCCGTCTCTAAAGGAGTATCGGGGTGGTCGATCCAAGCACAGGGGCTAGGTGCAGGGTTTCGCTCAAAGAGGAGCAGAGGGGAGGGGAACAGGGACGAGATGATTCCCCCCCGCCGGGCGCTTAGGTATTCCTTTCATCTCTGGGGAGTGGATAGTCTCGTGTTTCAGGATCCAGGAGTCGGGTTCCCAGATCCCTCGATCTGGGTATTCAGCAAAGAATGCCGAGGGAGTACAGTAGTTGGTGCGGGCTACACGGCAGTCCATTGCAGAAGATGCAGGGTAAACCTCGGGGGATGTGGACCGTGGATGGGGATACCGGATTCTTCACGAGGGTTTGGCTTTTTGGAAAGGGGTACTAGTGGGTTCTTGGTGTGGAGGTTGATGGATGTGAGACAGGAATGATCGTAGTATGAATAGATGGCACCTGGACACATTTGCATTGGGTCGGAGTCATCATGAGCCAGACAGGGTTTGGCACAGTCGAACTAAGGGTCCACGCGGCATTGGACCCCGTGATGAACGGGGAAGGGAGGGACAGGGGGATGGAAATAATCAAATAATCATGTCGGGTCATGAATCTGTACTAATAGACCATCCCTGCAGCGGGTCAGTGTCTAGTGTATACGTGATCACCTCGGAGATGCAGACAAGCCCTAACGGCGGAGCAGACACGAGAAAATGGTAAAAGCTCCGAATGGCTCGTGGCGTGCGTCCGGAGTAGATTAATCTCGGCGGGCGAGTGGAGACCGTTAATCAGCGGATGATGGGTAACTTAGGAGAAGAGATACTGTATATTTAAAAGGAGAAGTTGTGCGGTATATATCGACTCTATGATGAGACTGCGTTAAATATAGGAGGGTGTGAATAGTGGTTGCCACGATCGGGACTAGTGGTAGAGAAGGATTCGCAGTGTCTCGTCTGTTCAGTCTTTATAACGCCATCGTGCCCTAGGATACGGCCTCGAGAGCTAACGGTCTCGAGACTAAAGTGATCCGCTGTTCCTCCCATGCAATTAAGCAACGTGAGACTGGGCGCAGGCTGGAACCGAGCCAGCCAGAAAAGACGACGACCGACTAAGAGTTCGGGTGGTCCAGCTAGGCAAAGGATAGCCCCGTGATGCTAACTGCAGTTGGTCGAATCGAGGTCCTAAATTTGTTCCACCGTACGCTAAACACGAAAGCAGTCAGCCAAAAAAAAAGTCAAACCTCCAGTCTAAAGTTAAACCCGCGAGAAGCCTCTCGAGAATAACTCCGGCGGCACTTCGCTCTTTCTCCGCATTTCGCCTTCTCCACAAATCGCCTCCCCCGTTTTCTCCCCCTCTTTCTTTCGTTTCCCCTGCCTTTTGAGTTTGGGCTTCGACTCCCTCTACGGTCGCGCTTTGGCACTCGGTCGCTCGGGTTAACGATCGCCTCATCGTATTCCTTGCCAATTGTTCCTTTCCTAGCTTCTTTTCATTTTTCTCTTCCCTCTCTCCCCACCCAGTCTCTCTTCTTCCTTCTTGCCCTCTCTCTCTCCTCTTTTCCTCTCTATGCCTCTCCCCGCAATCACTCAATGAGCGATGTCGCGCCCGCAGGTCAGTATCGACCGTCTGACGCCGCGCCGCGCGACGGTGGAACCTCGCGAGGCCATGAACTGCAAGTCTTGTCGCAAACGAAAGGTTCGCTATCCCTACCACCGTCCACGCGGAATCCTCCCATTTCCTCGTCTCAATCAATCCGGAATTACTCATTGCTTTTTTTCCAGATCAAATGCAACCGTCTACGCCCCAGTTGCGAGGCCTGTAAGGTCTTCCAATGCCCGTGTATCTATGGTGAGTGCATGCATTCCTCGGATATTCCGCCCGCGGTTTTGGCCCGGTTCCGCGCATTTTCTCCCCGTCGCATGGTTTCCCCCAAAAGACTAAACGCCTCAACTTTTCCCCTTCCAGATGCGATTCCCAAAAAGCGCGGCCCGAAAACGGATGTCCTCGAGGCCCTTCTCAAACGTGTCGATGGTCTAGAAAAGAGACTTCAGGATGAGAAAGATCCCATCTCCCCCACCTCCCCGGATAAGCAGCAACCCGACGATCTCCCGCTCGGACAGGCACGCAGCGCCGCCCGTCGTAACACCCTCGATGCCTCGGCGTTCAATCCGTATGCTACGAGTGACTCGCGACCGGCCCTGTCGTCTAGTTTGTCGCAAAATGCCGACTCGTTTCCCAGATTGACCGGTCATGACCCCTCGCCGGGTTTGCCCCCGCAGTCGGCTCCGCAGAATGGCGGGCTCTCTGACGTTTTGCTCGATGCGTTTTTTGCGCGATTACATGGAAAGCCATTCTATATCTTGGACGAGGCGGGGACTAGGCAGCGCCATCAATTGAATCAAGTACCGGTACATTTGGCGATGGCTATATCGGCCATGACCCTCAGGTGAGTGGTCTGATGGGTGGGGCTCGCTGTGGACTCGCAATCGTCTAATGCGTGATAGGTACACTCATGTTGGACAACCGGAGCAGTCCTTGCGCATCGGTCTGGATGCGGCTCTACAGGCTCGACGGATCATTGATGTGGATAATCCCACGATAGAGGGGTTACAATCCTTGCTGTTACTCTCTCAGGCCTTTTTCGCCTATGGATTGGGCAAGAAGGCGTATATGACATTCTGTAGGGTCCCGTCGCAGTCTAAAGACAAACTTGAATGTGTTGACTGATACTTTCTAGCAAACTGCGCGGCCATGGCCGTGGCTTTGGACCTACTGCGTGAACCCCCATCCAAAGCCAATCTCTCTGCACCCGAGCGCGAAACACGCCGCCGATTATTCTGGTCCGTCTATCTGATGGACCGCTTTATTACCTGCGGATCCCGGCGGCCATGTCTCATTGCCGACCACTCCATCGTTCTGCGGCTCCCATCGTGGTCCCCGCATGCGGCCGGTCTCAATATGGAGGGCGAGCTGTTCCACGTCGGCCCAAACATTCAATACTCGGCTGATTCACGCCGGAAAGCACCCAGTGCCGCGTTGTTGTTGATCGATATCACCCGGATTCTGGGAGTCACCAACCGGTATCTGGCTGCGGGTGGGGTCAAGGGAGACTCGCATTTCCCATGGCATGCACTTTCGAATTTGTCCAAAATTCGACAGGAATTGGACATTTGGGCGGCAGGCACACAGGATGTCTTTGCTTCGATCGAGGCATTGTTCGGGCATCCGGAGAGCACGACGCTCCTCCTGAGTAAACTGATCTATCATTTGGTGCACTGTCTCATATACCGCCCCTTCCTGCCCATCGATCTCGTGGAACTCCGAGGCACGGGTCAGCATCAATCCTGGCAGATCGAGGCCACCAATCTCTGCTTTTCACATTCCAATGCGATCGCCGAACTCGTCGAGCTAGGCCGGAGTTCGCCGCTAGTCGAGTGGCCTGCTTTCGTGGGGTATTGTGTCTGCACGGCCGGTACCGTGCATGTTCACGGCGTGCACTACAAAGGTCGTGAAGGGGAGGTCTTCTCGTCGAGTGCTGAATTCCTCACCCGTGAGATGCACCAGCTGGCCTGGTTGCGGAATTCCTGGGCGGGTGTCCAGCATCAGCGGGAGCTGCTTCAAACGATATATACCTGTCATACGGAGCTGGTGCGGAATCTGGCGAGTAGTTCGATGCGCTTCTCGCCCGTTTTCCATCTGGAGGATTTCCTCGATCGGTATCCCGGTCTCACGGTGGACGGTGCTCATGTGCGGTTGCTTGATACCGGGGACGAATTGGCCGCGAGGTAAGTAACCTACATGTCGCTGACCATGCCTGCAACGGCTAATTTTCTTGTGTTATCCAGCCCTACCGGCTACGTCGATCAACAAACCCAGTTCTATCGTCCAATGGCACCACCCTCATACCAACCCCAAGCCCCCTTCTACGGCAACCTTCGACCGACACCCTCACCCCTATCATCCTCTCAAACCCCCGACTCGGACCGCCGCAACTCCCACTCGCATTCTCATCCAAACAAACCACATCAATCGAACAACCCTCTCTCCCCAGCCCTCCACTTCCACCAACAAACTCAACCTTCCCCATCTCTCTCCTCCATCTTCCCGATCCAATCCGCCTCCGACCAACTCTCCCAATCAACATCCCAACTATCCCACGACAACCACCACCTCGCCCTTCCCAGCGCCTTCTCCCCAAGCGCCTTCGGCCTCTCTCCACCCGCCTTCCTCACAGACCCTTCGCTCGCCATCGCTCCAACACCCCCATCGAACCCGCAATACGCTACCTTTCCGTTCGACACGTCCGCGACTCAATCCGGCGCCGCACTGACCCCCGGCGCGCAGTCGCAGACTAGCGGCTCGCATACGGCGAGTAGCGAGACGGGGGCGGGTAATTTGGAGAAAGATCCATTTTTGAGTCTTTTGGAGCAGTTGGCCGAGAATGAGCATTCGCAGGGTGGTCCTAGCGATTTGGATTTCTTCTTGACGGGAGCGGTAGATGGGGAGGGAGACGTTAATGTCAAGATTGGGGATGAGGGGAGTCGGGTTTCGGAGATGTAAATAAAAAATGGCGTGTTGAATTGGCTCTAGGCATTAGGTTGTATTTTGGGGACTGTGTTTGGTGCAACCTTATCTGTATATACTGTTTTCGTGAATGGACCGGATTGGACCGGACCGGGGTGAAATGGCATGGCTATGCCACGGCGCGTGTATATGGTGGTCAAAGGTTGGGTGTATAGCCCTTCTCCAGCGTCAAATATGAGTTTGAGTATGAGTCGCGTATTCATACTCGTACATATCCTGATTCTTGCTTGCACATCTTCAAATTTGGTGTCTGGTATGTGTGCATTTGCCCTGGAACACTCGTATTCACCTGTGCCAAGTCCAAATTCTGCCTTGTATATCCTCGTTCGAGCCACGCAGGACTAGGCAGGGCAACCGATCACGCCCGATAACCAGTATCTCGTCATGAATTCAATAAGATCACAGAACCATCCTAAATCGGAATAACCAAGCGAGATCCAGAATGGCAAACTCATCCCTCGGCTTTGAGGATGGTATTCGCAATTAGTGGGTTGAGGAACCTATCACGGCGAAGCAATGCCCGGAGTGTATCCGTCCCGGCTGCCTTGAGTGATTCCTGTAAATCCCTTTTGTCCGGTGCCCTGACTATCGGTTTTTGATCTTGTATCCGTATCGTTTTCACGGGGGGGTTCTTAGATCTGGAGGATCAGGTTGTGCTGGTTGTTGCCTGAGAGAGTATGGTGTGGTGGGGGGACAGGGCGGTGCCCGTGCCCGGCGGCTCCACTGCCATAGCCACCGTGAGTGAGGAAGGACCACTGACGTAGAATGCAGAGGTGGTGAGCACGTGGAGTGTCGGAGTGAATTGTGTACTCATGAGTTGTGAGTCAGTTGATAGTAAGAAGTTAGTTAGTGCAGGTAGTTAGGTCAGTGGTTAGGGATATACTTCCCGGGCGGGTGGGAGTAGGGTTCGAATATCCTAACTTCTGTAGGTGGGTCGGTAGCTACACGAGGCGCCGAGGTGAGGCTCACTTTTGTCTTGGTAGACCAGTCTTCGAAATATATCGGATAGGATATGAACATGGAGATGTGTAGTGTTGAGGGAGAACTATATAAGGACCTTCCCGGTCCTTGCTATCCTTCCTACTCAACTCAACATTCACTTATCTTTATCATCTCGTCTGATCGTGTCTACTATCTATAACCACCCGTATTCAGCTCTTCTACGAGTTTGAACACCTTCCAACCACATACTCTTCACTACATCCATCCCTCTATCCATCCCATCAAGATCAGAATGTGGGAATTCCTCAAATCCCCCTCCCGCCGCCGCCGCGAAGAACGCCAGCGCCAACAGGAACAACTCCGCAAGGACATGGCCATACAAAAAGCTCTCCAAGAGCGCTACGAGCGTGAAGCCAAGGCCCAGCCTGCTTCTACACCGACCGCTGCTACCCCGGCTTACAAGGCTTACTATCCCTCTTCGAATACTACAAAGTCCACGCGGGCGTCGCGTGGCTCGGGATACTCCGGTGGAGGGTCTTATGGGGGTGGGTATGTAGGTGATTCGGGGGGTTCTTATGGTGGAGGTGGATATGGGGATGGTGGGGGTTCGAGTTCGGGCGGTTGTTCCGGGGGAGGTTCGTCTGGAGGTGATGGGGGTGGCGGCGGTGGTGGAGGTGGTGGTGATGGCGGTGGTTGCTGAATGTAGTTGGTTGTGATTATGTTTTTATATGTGTTGGATGAAGATATGCTTCTATGTGGCCTCGGAGTGTGTCTATTTATTGGTTTATATTCCTTAGTCAGTACTTGATTTATATGGTGAATTTGATGGAATGAGCTATCAGAGACGTATACCTGGGACGTAAGGATCAATCACTACTCAGGGCAGTAGACTTTCAGTGCAGTCTGTCCTTTTGTACCATCCATCATAAAGCAGAGAAGCTGGGACATTACCAAAATTTCTGACTTAGAAGCGCTGATGATACCACTCTATGCCTCGGTAAATGCTTCCTACGGCTATTCAAACCGCAGCTTCTGCAATAAACTGGAATTATCGAAAGACAATCGTATCATTTATAGACGTTATGACTGAAACAGCTACAACCATACTTCAGCAGCCTCAGACAACATCACCATGGGCCTTGTTTTCCGTAATTGGGACATGCTCCGTCTGGTAAGGATCAACCTTTGTCTGCGCAAACCGACGAGCAGGAATCTTCTGCTCAAACAAAACATCAAGCTCACTATAACTTCTCCCCTTTGGCTCCGGCAACCGGAAAAACGTCCAAACAAAACACAAAAAGCACGTCCCCATCCAGAAGAAACCAGCCTTTGCACCCCAATCCCACGCCGTGGACGTCAACTGATAATTGATGAGGACATTTACAACGAGTCCGGCGATATTGTAAAAGTTCCGCGCAATCACGATCGTCTTGGCTCGTAGTCTTGTAGAAGACATCTCCGCGACGAGGGAGTAGCAGACGGGACCAACGCTGGAGTCGTACACAAAGGCGAAAACGAGAATCATGGATCCGATAGCCCATGAGACGGATTGGCTGCTTTTGGGAGCAATACCGAGCATACCGACGATGAAGAGGGTTACGCACATTGTCGCCGTGCCGATGAGATAGATCTTTCGTCGGCCCACGAATGTCATCACCCACCATGATAAGAGAGTTCCAACGGCTGCGATGGCGTAGACGCCCATTGACATGTCGAATGCGTCCACGGTGGGGAGTCCGGCTTGTTCGTAGAAGGTCGTTGAGTAGCCGATGAATGCCGAACCGCAGATACTCTGGGCCACCCAAGCAGCAGTGCAGATCTCGGTTCGACGGAGATCCACGCCCTTGAAGCAGTCGAGGTAGCTGGTACCGGAGGAAATCTCCTGTTCGAGTTCATTTGTATGTTGCATCATCGCAATGGTTTTGTCCGCGTCAAAGTCTGGATCGTTCTTCGTTGTGAGTCTCAATAGGGAATGCTTGGCCTCTTCGATCCGACCCTTTCGAATCAGCCACCACGGTGACTCGGGTGCGAAGTAGACGCCGACGATGAGAATCGGTGGCCACATCCACTGGATTCCAAATGGAATCCGATAGGCGTCGGACGTGGTATTATTGACCACTCCACGTAGCACTCCAGAGGCGATAAAGTGACCAATAACCCAGCAAAGATTGTTGTATGTCGTCAGATATGCTCTTAGACCAACGGGGCACACCTCGGAAGCATACGCAGTGGTGATTGTTTGGAAGGCACCCCACGGCAGACCACAAAGGATCTCGCCAACCAGAAGCATCTTGATATCCACTGCAAAGAAAGTGATAAAGATGAATGCAGTGATCATGACCAGAGCCCCGAGAATAGTCTTGCGATAGCCAAAACGCTCCGAAATAAGGCCAGTCACGAAAAGACCGATGATTTCACCGACGGCAGCCCCGTTGGACAAACCAGACCGCCATGGAGCGGAAATGGTGTATTTCCCAGTTGCCGGGTTCAGGACGCCATACTTCTTGCTGAATGTTGGTAGCGCATAAAAATTGGCCAACAGAAGAGTGTCGTAACCTTCCATGACAAGGGCTGTGGAGAGAACTATAGACCACAGCGCAGCTTTGGGATATAGCTTCAGCGCGCGGCGGAGTGTCATTTGCTTCTCTAGGCTGGCGCCCTCTTTGGCTTCATTGATTAAGCCATAGAGCTCGGATTTGTGCACATTGGAGTGGTGAATCACAGGTTCTTCATGGGCAGTGCCCAAAGAACCATGTCGCAGTTCATCCTTTTGGTGCTCGACAGTCTCCGACATGTTGGACACTGAATGAGATGTACTCGGTGGCACGAAATGTAAGCAGTGTTATTTCTTTACACACGTGAAAGCTATCTTCAAATATATACGAGATAGTCCGAGTCTTATATGCCTGGTCTCTAGATCTCAAATGTCTTTCCAGAAAAGACAGATCTAAACACATGCCGGAAGACCTAGAGGAGCCCGCTTCGTGCTGACACATTGAAATGGCGACATTCTATCACTATATCCTGGTTCTGGGGTCTTACATATGGTTTTGCCGAGCTTGAGAATTACCCTATTTACTTCAATCAGCCTAGAGTCCGCGTTTCATCGGCATGGCTTCCAGTCGAGAACTAATCGAGCTATGAATCGATGGTCTGTGCTTAAGACCTATAGTAAGCTTCGGCCCCATCAAAGCTTGAGCATTGCCTTGCGCGATGGCTGTGGCTGATTGCGAATTGGGCTTCCACTTTGATAGTATGATGTCCAAGTGCCGACGAAGCTTAGGCTTGAGCTTAGTCTCGGTAACAGTTCCCGACACAGTTTAGTTAGTCGCAGTGGGCCTGTCTGGCAACAACAGAGACTTGAGCCGTGTGAAAGTGGCCTAAAGGGCTTGGCAATGCAATGTGCATGATTCCTTGTGCATTCAGAGTACACCAAGGTGAAATTCAACATGACTCGGTTCAATTCTCCCCAATCACACCATCCTTCGCGCAATTGTCACGCGTGGGGGCGGGTTTAGGAGGGCCGACGGGTTCTCCGGTCAAGACCATGCCTTATGCAATACGATGGAAGGTGTATTCTTGGGGACTAAACAATGAACCGACCTCCGGCTGTGTCTTCATCCGCCTTTCCGGTTGCAAAGAGAGTTGTGGGTCGCTCACGTCAGTATTACCACCACAAGCTCCTTACCCCAGATTTTATCGCCGATCGTGGATGCATAGTGCATTTATATCGTTTAGGGTCGGCAGTATATCTTGCTTGGATATTATCTCTAGCTTGGTGTACTCTGAGACTATGCCTAGGTATGCGGGTCTTGAGACATAGGATAAGTGCTAGTCGAGTCCGCAATCCATCCTCCAGGGATCTAAACGCTGACTAGCAGTGAACGGAGATAGAATTAATCCTCTGCTTCCGGTCGGACAAATTCTCGGATTAATTTTCGGTCAAAGTCCATTTCTGGTCGCATGCCGTTGCCAGCCAAGGCTGATTACTTGTAAGCACCTCGGTATCCCGGAAATGGTGATCAAGTTCACTATCGAATATACACAACGAGAGGCAGGGTCGGGTAATCGCAAGGGATGACGCGATACATGGATTTATCACGAACACGGACAATGTCTCCTCAAATGGCCTGTGATATAGATAAGATAACGCAGGGGTCTTATCATTCCATTGCTACCTAGTCCCTTAATCCTGCGTTTTCATACCATCTGAGATAGTTACACTTGGTGTTCTTCAAGACCGCGCTGGAATCACTCAGATCCGTACCTTCAACAAACCGAGCCTAGGACAATACAACCTTCGATATGGTCGCTCCCGTGACTGGAAGAACAGTCTCGTCGACTGGAAGGGACACCCATCAGGCACAATCACGATTGTCACGCCCACTTCAAGATTCAGGCTCTTTGAGCCAATTCCCTCGCTCGGATCTCACGCCTGTCATTGGTAGGGAATATACAGGGTTACAGATTACGGATATCTTGAATTCAGGGGACTCCGATCGAATCATCCAGGATCTTGCTGTGACTGGTGAGTAATCATCAAGAACGACGATTAACCCTTGGTTGAACTACGTACTAACTATATTCAAGTCTCCCAACGAGGCGTAGTCTTCTTAAGAAATCAAGACGTGACACCCGCGCAAATGCGTATATTCACAGAGCATTTATCCCGTCTATCTGGATCTGTACGTACTCACATAACGCCCACCTTCTTCCATCATATAGAACCCAGAATCTCCAATCAACCCCAAACTTGCTAACCCCACTATAACAACCATCAGCCCGAATCCTCCACCCTCCACATCCACCCCCTAACAGAAGAAGGCTCCGAACTCGGTGACCAAATCAGCGTAATCAGCAGCGCCAAACAAAGAAAAGGTGGCGGTCTCACCCACCAACTCAACGACGTTAGTCGTTTCGCCTCCGTCGGCTGGCACTCGGATATAAGCTTTGAACCTGTTCCGTCGGATTATGCCATGTTGAAGATTCACGAGTTACCACTCACGGGCGGTGATACGCTCTGGGCGTCGGGGTATGAGGTATATGATAGGCTTTCGCCGAGTTTTGCGGCGCTTTTGGAGGGTTTAAGTGCTACGCATGATGCAAGGTTCTTTCATGATGAGGCCGCTAGACTGGGGAATCCATTGAGAAAGGGCGTTCGCGGGTCACCGCTTAATTTTGGTGACTCGTTGACTGCTATTCATCCTGTTATTCGGACGAATCGTGAGTTTTGTGTTCGTTTACAGACGTGGATAGGTTGATACTGACTCAATCGAATAGCCGTGACGGGTTGGAAATCTGTCTACGTGAACCGCGGTTTTACTCGGCGTATAAACGAAGTCACAAAAGACGAGTCAGACGTCATTCTGCAATATTTATTCAACGTAAGTATTCACTAATCTCACTGTTCAATTTTTGAAAGTATACTCCCTGACACCATCAATGATAGCTTCTCACCCAAAACCATGACGCCCAGGTTCGGTTCAAATGGAACAAGAACGATGTGGCTATTTGGGACAACCGCTCTACATGGCATACTGCCACTTATGATTATAGCGAGACGCGTACTGGGGACCGCGTGTGTAGTTTGGGAGAGAGTCCTTATTATGATCCTCAGTCGAAATCTCGGAGGCAGGCTTTGGCGGAGGAAGACTAGATAGTTGCATTCAAACCGATCGACTTCCACAATAACACCCAGGTATATTCTCATTCACATCGATAGGTTATCTTCCAAAGGCTCTTCTAAATGCCTGTGCCTTCTACATAGATTCAATTCTCAAGGGTGTTCATAGGCTATTCAGGTAGAAAGTGACAGTATATCCCTGCTATGGGGCCTTCTGTCCGCGGTCTACATACTTTGTATAGATACTCGATTGAATTAAGTAGAACTTTTCATCAATTTCTTTTGTGGATGTATTTTCCATCCATTCAGATAACGCGAGAGAGAGCCCTATTGAACCTTTTGAGGACTGAGCTAAATATGCACCAACGAATATGGAGAAGACCTATCTACCAATACTTACTTAGATAACCCCGTAAGGATCAAGACGATGATGATTCAGAACAGCTGCTTTAACAGTTGCGGCAAATGGTCGGCATTTTCATCTTTCTTGCTATTCCTATTCTTGGTCAATTCGCTCTCACGGCTTCTCTGTAGCGTGGGGCTTGTCAGCAATCTATTGAATTCGCTCAATTCCGTTGTCTTGTCACCAAGATATACCGGTCGGGATCCTGCGTTGGCCATTACAACTTTTCCTGGTTGGGTCCAGGAGAGGGGCTCAAAACAAGGTCAGATGAGAAATCAAGCTAAAACTCATTTCCTCAAGCCCAGATTCGTAGAGTACGCTTGTTTGAGCGACCTCGGCCTACAAAAGCATAGAGGAATGTTGAATAATCAGCAAAAGGAATCATAACATCGGCTGGTTCAAAGATAAAGCCTAAACCAAGTGAATACTAATCCAAGAATTTATAGACCGAGGTAATGGAAATAGATTAAGTTTGCCTACTTTTAGAGCGCCATTTACATTCGCCGGTAATGGAGCCTTTAGAATTCCGATCCTAGAACAAAGATGATGATGAATCCCATTTATCCTGACCCATCGCCCCCAGGACGGTACCCGCGTATTATCTAGTGGGGTACGGAGCATAATTCATAAAAACTTCGGTAAATGCGCCCTTCAGACCAAATCTCCATCACTATCTCAAGGGCATTAGCCTGATTTTTTCGATTACTCCGTCCGGAGGCTTTTCGTTATATTAACGGTGGAAATGCACACTATTTCCAAAATTCTGCGGTATCCCACCTGGATATGAAAATGGACGCCCAAAGAGACGCAGTGCATTTGGCGCTGGATATCTCTACAATATGTATGACTATGGCATGAATTTTCTTCTGGGCGATTGACCTGCGTATTGACTCAGCCGAAGGTGACCGGGCAGATGAAAATCCGGAAGTTACGACCAGTGCTAGCCTTACCAACGCTTCAAAGATTGAATTTGTACCACCAGAATCACCCGCGCTACTAAATAACGCTGAATCAACACCCAAGCTAGTTGATTTTGAGGGACCTTTTGATCCCTTCAATCCACAAAACTGGCCGACGACTAAGAAGTACGGATCCATTCACCCCCTTTCTGATGCTTTACAAAATCTAATATCTATATCTCAGGCTTCATATAGGATTGCTACTTGGACTCGCTACTATGGTCACGGCACTGACGAGTAGCATCTTCTCGACTGTTATTCCGTCGCTAATGGCTACGTATGGCATATCACGCGAAGTCGGGACTCTTGGAGTCTCGTTATATGTTTTGGGATTTGCGACCGGTCCGCTCATTTGGGCACCATTTTCAGAGTTGAAGGGTCGTCGGGGGCCTCTACTCCTCGGCATGTTTTGCTTTACTATCTTCACATTTGCTACGGCCACCTCGAAGGACTTGCAATCTATTTTCATCTGCCGTTTTTTTGCCGGCCTTTTCGGTGCCTGTCCCTTAACCCTTTCTGGTGCCGTCTATAGCGATATGTTCAGTCCACAACATCGGGCTATGGGGATGGTAGGATTCTGTCTCATGGTATTTTCAGGCCCACTGCTGGCGCCGGCTATCGGGGGATTTACCATCACGAATGATCGCCTCGACTGGCAATGGACACATTATATTGCTGGCATTCTCGGCGCAGCCTCGTTCGTGTCACTAATTTTCTTTCTAGAAGAGTCTTACGTGCCCATTCTGCTAGTCTTGAAAGCAAAACGGCTGCGTCGGGACACTGGAGACTGGTCAATTCATGCGAAGCATGAGGAGCTTAATATCACCTTCAGAGTGCTCCTTCGCAATTACCTAACGGTACCTCTCAAGATGCTTGCTTTAGACCCCATCATACTTTGCATGTGCAGTTTTGGCGCCTTTGTATATGGCCTGCTCTATCTCTTCCTTACAGCCTATCCGATAATATTCCAAGAAGTTCGTGGCATGGATGCTGGGATCGGCGGACTTCCATTCATTGGAGTTGTTATAGGTCAAGTTTTGGCAGGCGCAGCCATGTTCCTTAGAACACAACGGCTACAAGCCAAGATTAAGGCGAATAAGGGGCAGATGACCCCTGAGTGGTTGCTTGTCATAGGAATACCCGGATCTGTAGCCTTTTCGGCTGGGCTATTCTGGTTAGGTTGGACCGGTTACAAACGCCAATACCATTGGATCCTTCCAACGTCATCTGGGCTGCTGACAGGTTTTGGCCTCCTTTCTATGTTTTTGCCTTCTATCTCCTACGTCGCAGAGGTTAGGCGAACAAGGTAAATTATTGTACAACATCCCACTTCTTCTGAGAATTAACATGTTTTCCCATCAATAGGGCCGCGTCGGCTATCGCGGCACATACCTTCCTTCGCTCGCTGGCTGGCTCCATATTTCCCCTCTTTGCTACATACATGGTATGAAGACTTCATTGAGAGATTCTTTCACATTCACGATACTAAAATTTGAATAGTTTGATGCTCTCGGTGTCGAATGGGCTTGTACACTTCTGGGCTGTGTGGCTGCATGTCTTATTCCTATACCAATTGTCCTGTACTTATATGGTGCGAAAATAAGAACAAAAAGCAAATTGGTTCTTTGAGATTGACGTCTCCAGATGAGGCCAGAAGAAAGATCGTGTACGATGGCGTACGGAATCAGTTATAGCCAGTCGATAGGAATTACCGTAAACAACTTATTGACTTCTTGCCCATTGGGCTTGGAATTTTATCAGATTCATGCCCAAGAGATCTCGTAAATCTTTGGCCACTATCATCCCCATTACTTGCGGAGAAGGTACCTATCCCTTCTTGAGAAGCTCAAGTTCCGCTGAGTAATTACTGATTGGCATAGTTACCTAGCTATCAATTTCCTGGACAAATTACTCCAATTTGATCCAGAGAAACGCTGTTCTGTCGCCGACGCACTCGAATCCCAATCATGACCCTGAGGATGAGGCCGTGGCACCAAAATTCTGCGACTGGTCATTCCTTGAAGCAGATCTTTCCGCGGACGTCTGGAAAACAATCATGTACGCGGAGGTATTAGGTTATCATGAGCAATCTGGCGCACTGTTTCAGCTGGCCGCGCCATTTGATGGCATGGACCTAGGCTGATTTTCATTTCTTATAGTTTTTAAAGCTTTCTTCATTTTCCTTTGCGGGTTCACTGACGCACTGTCCGGATTTCTCTTCTTTAATCTTGACAAATCGGCGGGGTGTCACATCATTTCTTGTGGTATACTTCTATCATGAATGAGTATAAGCTATAAAGGCGGAGATCTTGGAGCTATGCACCTAGACTAATAATGGTAAATAGGTAGCCGTTGTGCAGGAAGTTGTAGGTTGTTAACACAGAAAAGGGAGACGAGGTATCTTGCATTGTGCCAATTTCGTGTAAAATACACCTGCTGAATCGTATCGTTAACTCTAACAGTCTATATACCTTCTAATACGGTATTCCTCTCTCTATGGTACATAATGCATAACAGAAACGAGAGATAAAGCATCATTCATGAAAAATCAATTTTTGTAATCAAGTCAACCACCATCCGGGGTGATTTGTACTCCATACCCCCCGGATAAGAATATTTGTCATAAGAATAGGGAAAATGGCCAATCGGCAAATCTAAAACTCAGTGGGAAATCATGCAGCCACGTGAGAGGGCATAGAGCAAAAGCAAAGACAAGAAGAGGATAGGGGTAACACGCTCAAGAGAAAGGAAAAGGGCTAAGGTATCATCTATGTTTCTTAAATTTGCAGGTCTTCGACGCTGCTGGATCGCTTTGCTGAGACGGCCGCGTCGCCCAGGGAGAGGACGGAGATGGTGCGGCCGTTCTTGGGGCGGGCGATGTCTTCGGTCTTGGTGCAGATCCAGGTCGAGGCGTACATGTTAACGCTGGCTAATGTCAGAGGGGATTCTTGTTGGAGGAATAGACGGAACTTACCGGTCAATGCAGGTTCCCGGGAAACGGGCTCCAACTCGGCGGGGTGAGAAACCGTTCTCCTCAAAGTGCTTGATGTACCAGGGATCGATGCTGGCAGAGCGGAGCAGGATTCGGCCACCCTTCTGCAGAGCAGTGTTGAACCGACGGGCTTGTGCAGGTGCGGCATCTCCCTCGGGGTCAAACCAGTCCATGGAGTCCATAACCTAGGATAACGGTAAGCTACAATGCTGATGAACAGTTTCGGGCGGAACCACTTACCACAGCGATAGTCAATGTGCCCGGGGTGATGCGGTTGATCACCTCGTTGATCTCGTCGGTGTGAATGCGGAGGCCATCAAAAGCACCGGGGGTGGATAGCTTGACGTGGGCTTGCGGGGAGAGATACGTGGGGTGGCAGCTTTGATTTGTTAGTGAAACCATCCAGGAAACGATGAAAGTCCCAACTTACCGGCGCGAGAACTTGCCCTGCATACACAGGTAGTAGAAGTAGTTGTCGTTGCTGATCAAAGTATCGTTGACCACGGGGTCCAGAGTGTTCACCACGTATTCCCAGATAGACTGTCCACTGATGTCCTTGCCTTGCTTCATATCCGTCGTCAAACCGTTGCGGCGGAAAAAGTCGTCAACAATCATGTTGCGCTGGTTGCGAGGCACACCAGCGGCCTTCCAGGCAAACCACTCGGTACTAACAATGGCC